TATGGGTCCCGGAGTCTCTCTATGGGTCCGGGGGTCTCTCTATGGGGCTGAAGCCTCCGTCTATAGGTCCTGAGGTCTCTCTATGGGTCTGGGGGGGTCTCTATGGGGCCGAGGACCCCTCTATGGGTCCCTCTATGGGGCTGACAATCTCTCTATGGGTCCCGGAGTCCCTCTATGGGGCTGGAGACCCCTCTATGGGTCCCTCTATGGGGCTGAGGACCCCTCTATGGGGCAGGAAAGATCTCTCTATGGGTCCCGGACTCCCCCTATGGGTCTGAGGATCCCTCTATGGGTCCTGGTGATCCCTCTATGGGGCTGACAACCCCTCTATAGGGCCGTGGGTCCCCTCTATGTGGCTGTAGGTTCCCTCTATGGGTCCGGGTGTCTCTCTATGGGGCTGAGAGGTCCCTCTATGGGTCCTGAAGTCTCTCTATAGGGCCGTGGGTCCCCTCTATGGGGCTGAGGACCCCTCTATGGGTTTGAAAAGTCCCTCTATGGGTCTCGAGCTCTCTCTATGGGTCTGAGAACCCCTCTATGGGTCTGAGAACCCCTCTATAGGGCCATGAATCCCTCTATAGGGCCATGAATCCCTCTATAGGCTCTCTCTATGGGGCTGAGGACCCCTCTATGGGTCCCGGAGTCCCCTCTATGGGTCTGGGGGTCCCTCTATGGGGCTGAGGATCCCTCTATAGACTCCCACTATGGGTCTAAAAATCCCTCTATGGGTCCCGGAGTCCCTCTATGGGGCTGAAGCCTCCGTCTATAGGCCCTGAGCTCTCTCTATGGGGCTGGGGGGGTCTCTCTACGGGTCCTGGTATCTCTCTATGGGTCTGAGGACCCCTCTATGGGTCCCTCTATGGGGCTGACAACCCCTCTATGGGTCCCGGCATCTCTCTATTGGTCTGGGGGGTCTCTCTATGGGTCCCAGAGTCTCTCTATGGGGCTGTAGGTCCCCTCTATGGGGCTGACAACCCCTCTATGGGTCCAGAGCTCCCTCTATGGGGCCGTGGGTCCCCTCTATGGGGCTGGGGCCTCCATCTATGGGGGTCCCGAGCTCTCTCTATGGGTCCTGGAGTCCCTCTATGGGGCTGAAGCCTCCATCTGTAGGTCCTAAGGTCTCTCTATGGGGCTGTAGCTCCCTCTATGGGTCCCGGTGATCCCTCTATGGGTCCCGGGCTCCCTCTATGGGGCTGCAGGGTCTCTCTATGGGGCTGGAAGATCTCTCTATAGGTCTGGTGGTCCCTCTATGGGTCCCGGGCTCCCTCTATGGGTCCCGAGGGCCCCTCTATGGGTCCCGAGATCTCTCTATGGGGCTGGAGATCCCTCTATAGACTCCCACTATGGGTCTAAAGACCCCCCTATGGGGCTGGGCGGTCCCTCTATGGGTCCCGGAGTCTCTCTATGGGTCTGGAGAGGTCTCTCTATAGGTCCGGGAGTCTCTCTATGGGGCTGTAGGTCCCCTCTATGGGGCTGACGATCTTGCTATGGGTCCAGGGCCCCCTCTATGGGTCCCGGGCTCCCTCTATGGGTCCCGAGGGCCCCTCTATGGGTCCCGAGATCTCTCTATGGGGCTGGAGATCCCTCTATAGACTCCCACTATGGGTCTAAAGACCCCCCTATGGGGCTGGGCGGTCCCTCTATGGGTCCCGGAGTCTCTCTATGGGTCTGGAGAGGTCTCTCTATAGGTCCGGGAGTCTCTCTATGGGGCTGTAGGTCCCCTCTATGGGGCTGACGATCTTGCTATGGGTCCAGGGCCCCCTCTATGGGTCCCGGGCTCCCTCTATGGGGCTGGGGGGTCCCTCTATGGGTCCGGGCCCCCCGCTATGGGGCAGGAGTCTCACCTTGAAGGCCAGGGTGGTGGTCCCGTGCAGGAACTGGATGCCGGGCCCGGGCAGCTCCGCCCCGTCCCCCCCCCCCCCCAGGAGGGGCGGC